CCTTGCCTAGAAGCAGTCTCCTTCTGATACCTTGCCTGGGAGGGGAGTAGGGAGTTTACATTAGCCTTTTCATTTCCAAATGAAGTTACATTAACCTCTTCATTCCCAAACGGAGTTACATTAACCTCATCATTCCCAAATGAAGTTACATTAACCTTTTCAGAGCCCAAAACCGTATATTCCCTTCCCATTCCCCTGCTGTCCCCTAGCTTGTCATGCATTCTTTCAAAAAATTCGGACTTTTTTAAAACGCCGCGGGACGCGGGACAAATTGTTAAAAATCGGGACTGTCCTGCCAAGAGCGGGACGTCTGGTCACCTTACACATGTAGGGAAATTTCATTGACTTGCTCGCTCCATCACGGCAGGAGAGGAAGTTACGAGGCAGTGGATCTTGTCCAAGTTAGTAACCCAAAAACTCCCGAAGTACAGTTAAACTTTCATCAAGCTGCAGGTGACCAGCTTCCAGCGGGAACTCCACCCTCCCAGGGAGGTAGCATTTGGAGCCCCCGGTAGGTGCCCATCCAGCCGCCCATTTCGCCCTCCCACTCTACACGCTCTTTCTCATCACCTGGGGATGTTCGAGATGCGGGCCAGCGCCTGCACTTGCTCTTCCATTCCGCGACAGATAGCTTAGGCTCGCGTGCAAGGTGGGCTGTGGGCTGGGCTGGAATCCAGCCAGAGTGAGCACCGCACCAGGCCCGGTCTCGATCTGGAGCGCCCTCTGGCGGCGCAGGGCGATCGTGCGCGTCTCTAGACCCGGGCATTGACCTTAGACTCCGCTCCGCTAGACTCAAATGCGCTGGACAGCGCCTGGAAGGGTTACTACCTCAACTCTATCTAGGTCCCGCACTACGCCTCAGGCTGACGATGAGGAGGCTCGAGACAGCCCTAAGTGGCTGCTAGGAAGGAGAGACCCAAGGTGCTGCTGAGAGCGGCTGCATGAGTGTGGACATCTAGTTGCTGGGCTTGGAGTCATATCCGTCTTTCTGTTCTGTGAGGAGGTGCAAGCTTCCTAAAAAATATGACTTTGTGTATATCTAAAGTCTGCAGTGGCGTTCAAGGCCAGTAATAGGACATCTACCCAATCTCAACTGCCTAGTGCCCCTGTCTTTGGACCAGAGGTCACTCTTCTGCTTCCTCGTCAATCTACTCCTCCAGGTCTGGGTCTAGAGTGAGGCAAGCAAGGAGCCTAGAGCGCAAAATTTAAGGAGCACTCACCCTGAGGGTCCTGCAAGTGCAGGCCAGCACTGGCTCCACCGTAAGAGCAAATTTCCTCCCTCCCCAGTTCCTTTTTTGGTCTTCACTCTAAGGCCCAGGGGTCCTCAAACTTTTTAAACAGGAGGCCAGTTCACTGTCCCTCAGACCGTTAGAGGGCCGGACTGCGGGCCCCTGGACGAGTCGGCTGCTAAGCAGGACAGGCAGCGGCGGCAAAAACACACCGTGGGCGGGATAAATGTCCTAGGCGGGCCGCATATGGCCCGTGAGCTGTAGTTTGAGGACTCCTCTTAGTTAGAGTCTAAGCCGTAGGTTCCCAGAGGAGGAGACCAAGTCTTCTATTCTCCGGGGACCTGGGTGCTACAGGGTTCTCAGT